ACCTCTTATAGTAGCCTTATCTGATATTATCACCCCAAACTTAAATAGTGCCTAGAACACAGAATGCACTCAATAAATATTTGCTGAATCAAAGAATTAACAAACCAAAGAAAGAATGCATTCACCTCACCCCAATTAAGAGACAACCCAAAGTCACTGCCAATTACTTTATGCAGAAGTGATACGGTAGGACTTCTGTACTCAGAATCCAGCCCTTCCCTGTCACCTCAGGTCCAGGCTTGACTCCTCACCACCTTAATATCCACAAATAAATGATAATTTAAAAATCCCCAATACATCACATACTCAAAAGTAAATAAGAAACAACATAATTGTACATTTAATTCTCAGTTAAAAATGGGGAAAAACAAAAAATTTGGCACAATATTCTGCCTTAGTCTTAGCTCAGCCTCTACGTATATATGGCCATCTCTTAGTCTTAGATCAGCCACCTCTTTGTGTTTTAAGCACGTGACCGTTATTTGCAATTGTGATAACACAAGAGAAAGTACAAGTAACTAACCTCCCAGACTGTGGGGCTCGCATGGAGTGACTGAGGGATGGAGGGTAACAAGGTGTCCCCCGTTCCAGGATGGGAAATCGGCAGTCTACCCTGGGAGGGGCCAAGTCACTGCTAAGCTACCCCTATGGTGTCATCCAACTCAGTGACTACTTATCGTGAACACGCACTGCCAGTGTGAATGCCAAACCGTTAGAAATATAATTCACGCACAGATAGTAAGCACCTGTCAAAGTTTTATTTAACTCATTAATGAGGGAAACAGCAATGGAGACTAATGGAAAAAGGAATGCTGGTGAATGTCATACAGAGCCATACAAATACAACTTCTTTCTGTATGAACTTTCTTCTCTCCTTCCCTCCCTCCCTCCCCAGAAATCATTTCACTTCATTGGTTTTCTATGCACTAGCCTCTAAATCTACAGAGCTGTAAAATTATCAGGCTTTAAACCATTTTGTGTAGTATATCAAATAGCTGCTATTTTCTGAAAGGTCAGCAGAGGGGCTCATTAAAGATGCTTGATGCCATTAAAAAGGCCATACGATCACCATTTTGCTTTGCTTTGGATACTTTTCCTGAACAGCATATTGCTTAAAAAAACAAAAAGAAAGAAAGAAAGACTTTAACCCTAGCTTGGCCAGCCAAAACCAGTGAAAAAGCAGGCTTCTACCTAGAATTCAAAGCTAGAAGCTAGACAAGAAAAATAAACATGCCATTCAAAAACTGTACTTAAAATATACTTAAGATCGTTAAGATAAAGTAACTTACAGAACTCTTATGGAAGCCTCTAGAGCTTCATTATAGAAATTGTTATTTTATCCCCTATCTGACCACTGCGGGCAATCGACTCCTAAGATAGCCCACTGGGCCACTCACAGGATCACCTCTTGTGGCTTATTCACATCATCTTCCTTCACCTTAATCTAAGGCCATTGCTGCATACTTCAGACTGCAGTGCAGGCGCTGACGGCGCTGAAGGGGAGGTCAGGTTTCCTTTACACGGATATTCACACCTGGGTATGATCCCTAAGACTAGTCTAGGCTGTGGGATGGATGTGCTGACTAAGGAACATGAAAAAAACAACACAACACTTTAAATGGTTGATATCTCCTCTTATACATACCCAATACTTTCCAAAACAGCAATTTCTGTGGTTAAGACAAATTGGTACATGGTCCCGTACACAAAAGCAGCTTCCATGACTGCTCTGTGCTCTGCAGAAGAGGCGAGGGAGGGGGAGACGGGAAGAGTTAGTGCGTGTGACTCGGCCTCGGTTTCTACTCTGAGTATAGATAGTCTGCGGGCTGTTGTAGTCTGCTATATTAAAGAAAACTCCTTTGCAGCGTCCCAGTTGAGTATTTAACTGCCTTTAAGTAAGTGCAGGCAGTTAAAGAAATTACAAAAATCCTATTCTATTCAAGGTAAGAGAAGAATTAAGAGGGAGTGGAAAACTACTTGAGAATATAATTTGTGACAACTTTGTGAGAATTTTTTTCTAGCAGTAGGAAGAGAACATGAATGCACCATAAAACTTTCTATGTTACTTTTATATCTGTGCATGTCTGTGTATATTGGTTCTGGGTGAGTTAACTTTTAACCAACCATGCTTATTGACAAATAACCCTATAAAACCTATCAAGGCTTATCAACAAAACAACTGTTGCCCCCACCCCCCAGCCTGTTTCTAATTCCCAAGGGACAATCACTTTCAACTCTTTACTGTTTCTTCTGTTATTTACCTCTGAGACTTTAAATGGCATTCTCGTACTTCTCTTTTCTGATAAGAAAAATACACATACACACTTATAAAAAGTGTATTATCTTTTGAGTTCTCACCATGGAAGATGATAAATTTCTTTTCTGAAACCCAGCACCACATACATACCTCTCACTCAACAACTGTCTCCCACTGTAGTTCTGATTTTCATAATATCCAGTATATACTCAGTATTTACACTGCTACAACTCAGTAAATAGTATTTACAGATGAGCCGTGCAGTACAGAACCACATTTCCTTTCCTAGACAACCTCTTCACTGCAGTTATTACTATCTTTTTTAATTTCTTGTTTTGATTATTTTCCTAAACTCTTCCACAATTATCTACCCCTCTCAATACTTCAGATATTCTCAGGTATACTGTCGATTCTACCCTGGAGGCATTTCGGCAGAGCCTTCTGATTTGCTCCAACACTGTTTCTTGGCCTGCTACACACCAGCCACCCTGGCGACTCTCATACTCCGGGTCCTTCTCCCTGTCACCCACATCTTCTTTCCTGCTCCCTTGCTCCCATTCTCTAGCACATTCCTGGGAGAGCGTATGTGCAATACACACTTTTTGCAGTCCTACATGTCTGAAAGTGTATTAATTCTACTTTTGCATTAACTATACTTGGCTCATGAAGAACATGAGGTTCAAATCATGTCCCCTGAAAATTCTGAAAACATTGCTCCATTTATTTTCATTTCCAGCACTGCAACTGAGAAGTTCAGTGACATTCTGAGTCTTGATCCTTGAACTCTAAACCATTTTGTCCCCTACTCAGGAACATTTTCCTAAATTCTAAAATTATAAAATGAGATGCCTTGTTGGGGCTCTGCAGTCACTCACTGTGCTGGGACTTAGTGGGCCTTTGCAATCTGAAAACTCAATCCTTCAGTTCTGGAACATTTTCTTAAACTATTTCTTTGCTGACTCCCTCATTTTATCTTCTCTTTTCTCCTCATTGCCATTCTAGACAACTGTCTTCCTCTTCCAGGACGTGCATCCCACATCAGCACGTTATTCCTCCAGCACCCCACCGTGTTGCAGTCATCTACTACCCCACCCTGGATCACTCCTCATCCCACGGAGAACTGAGCAGTGGCCACACTGTTACTCTCTCCAGTACCACCCCTGCCACAGCACGTGGTAATTTCATTATCCACATAGATGATCCTTTCAAATCCCTGGCTGCCCAGTCCATGGCCTTCTCTACTCCAGTGACCAGTCTTCAAACTTAACACTCACTCCAGGCCATGTTATTACCAACACCGCAAACCCCTCCAGTCTCCATGCCTAGCCTTTCCCTACACACAAACGGCACATCCCTGAGTCACCCTGTCTAGCACCCAGCGCTAAGCCATCAAGACCTACAACCCAGAGAACCTACCACTTGTCCCTGTCCTTCAACCTTCTCTGGCCCTCTTTTCCCTCCTAATTAAGCTTAAATTCCATGGTCAATCTTTATAATCATTCCCCTGCCCATTAGGCTAAAATACAACTCAGGTTAAGTTCAACATTCTGCCCAGTCTATTCTTACACCCACGAAAGTCAATACAGCTGGAAGTGGGGAAAAGAAAACAAGAACATGCTAGCATCACCAAGCTGGGATCTCACTTTAAATTACTGTCCAGCAACCATTCTTTATTTCCAGGCCTCCTAAACAACTATTTCATCTCTTCCTTTCTCTTCTCAAACTAGTTGATGATTTTACTTCTATTTAAGTAGAAAATAAAACCAACTTGAAAAATGAACCAAAAGCACTTCCACAAGCTCCCAGCACCGTATCTGTCTGTCCACTTACCCCTAGATGCCCAAAAGCACTGCCACAAGCTCCCAGCACCGTATCTATCTGCCCACTTACCCCTAGATGCCCAAAAGCACTGCCACAAGCTCCCAGCAC